AGAAAGCAGAAAAAACCCTTAAATATGGGGGTTTTGTATCTGTTTTCCTGCTATTGAAGTGATGCTGAAGGATGGCAGCTTCCTTCTTCCCTGCCGTGCTGTGGGAATGCTCCTCTCCCCTTTCAGCTGGTGATTTTGCTGGTTTTTGGAATTCTGAAGTTCTGTGTGCCCTGCTTGCTGCTCCCTGGCTCTCTGGGAGGGTCCTGTGGGCAGGGTGCCCCTGCCAAGCTGCTGGCTGCATCCTCTGCACTGCTCCTGCCCTTTGCAGGACTGATGGCATGGCTCCTGGCCAGTGGCTGTGCAAGGTGGCATCCAGGGAGGCTTGCAAGGAAACTGGGATTCCCAAATTCCCATTGCACCCTGCTCATTTTGGGTCTCTTGTAACTCGGTGCTTTGCACTGGCACAGCGTGCCCGGAGCAGCTGTGCCCAGCCCTGGAAGTGTCCCAGGCTGGGACACCTGGAGCAGCCTGGGATGGTGGAAGGTGTCACTGCCCATGGCTGGAGGTGCTACTGGATGGGCTTTAAGGTCTCTTCCAACCCAGTTCTGGGATTTTTTGATTCCTTGGGAGATTGGTGGTCACCAGAGCTGGAGAGGAGTGGCCACGCTAGGCCATCAGCTGAAGCACCTCCCTGCCTGGGCCTGGCTGAGGTCTCCTACACCTTTAGAGTTTGGAAGCTGCTAGAAAAGCACCAGGTTCTTGCCTCAACAGCTGAATTTTCATGCTGAGCTACACTTTGGGCCCTTCCTTGTGGTGTGGAAGGTGGGGTGGGATGAGATGAGCTTTAAGGTTCCATGGAAGGCAGCCCAGCCTGGGATTCCAGGAGTCCTGGATGAGCAGCTGGCAGGGCAGGTGTGCTCTGGCCTGGGCTGGGTGAGGAGGGAGCAGCTCAGGGCTCAGGTACCCCCAGCATGGCCTGGCCACAGAACCAACAGAAAGAGCTCAAGCTGCACAACGGTGACCTGTGCCGAGGGCCACGGTGAAGTTGATGTTTCACTTCAGTCCCACATAAGCCTGTCCTGAAGCACTTAAATCCCAAGTAAGCTCCCCTGTGGCACGTGCAGCTCTCCTGGGAACGTTCCTGCTCCTTAGTGGTGCTCACAGGCCCCTGGGGAGGGAAAGCACTGGTGTTCAGGGCCTTTCTGCAGCTGAGGAGTTCAGCAGAACCAGTGACTGCTGGGTCAGATGTGCACTTCAAGATCTCTCCTTGGCAAAGGTTCAGGCATTTGGGTTTTTTTTCCTTTCTCCTTTGGTGAGCACTTGAGTGTGAGCAGGAGATGGACACAGAGAGCTGTGCCTGTGGCTGGAGCAAAGCCCCTCTGCTATTCCCAGGCATCCTTATTCCAGCTATTTGCTCAAGTCCTGTGAGTGACCTCTCTCAGCATGATGTCAGCTCTGCTCTGATGCAATCTGCCCTGGCAGCATTTGGATTTGCTCAAACATTTTACAAATCTGTGCCTGGAAAGTTTTTTTAGGTTTTTTTTCCCCCAACCCTCTCCTGTTTTCTGTGAAAGTGCTGTCTCCAGGGACCAACATATCTGCAGCCCAGATCTTCCTTACTCCACCATGGCTCTGTGAACTTTCTCGTTGGAGAGGCTGGAGCCTGCCTCAAACATTAGTGAAACCAGGGAAGGAAATCCAAACTGTTGCTGTCTTCCACAGGTTTTGATTCAGCTTTTAGTGAGTTGGGATGAGCAGGACAGGCCCCTGGCTCTCTTGCAATACCTAAAAGTTACTTTTCAGTTCTTCCTGTTGCATTGCAAGGTGCTCTTTCTCTGATTTGTTTTTTACTGTTGCTGGTTCTTCAGTCTAGAGCAGTTTCTAATTTTAAATGAGAGGAAACTCTTATTTGTATATGGGGCCAGGAACAGCCTTTCATTTCTCCTTTGTGTCTCAGCTGCACATGAAAACCATTTGTCATCTATTCTTCTGCTGCACCAGAGGCTATTTTGGTTTTCATGGTCTTGATGTTGGTGAAAGAAACAAGTCAACAAGGAAAATGCAAGTGTGAATATATCCTCCTGCAATAGAAACCCACAACATTTCTAAGAGTTTGAGGGCTGCTTGTGTTTAGGGAAGATGCTTTGCCTTTGAAGCTTGGGCAAGTTTATTTACACTGTGCTTGAAGCTGATAAGATTATTCTGTGATATGGATAAAGGAAAGCCTGATGTGGATTTAGCTCACAGATAAAGCAAGAAGGGGTGGAGTCTTTTTGTCTTGAAAGGCCAACATTTGAAAATGGACTGGAGTTCAGTTTTATTTGTCAGCTTGTACCACAATGTGTGGTGCACGTGTTGGGAATGTCAGTGCCCAGGGATCACCACAGGAAGGAACGGCCCAGCCCAGATGTGACAGAACAAGGCCATCCAGAGAGGAGCTGCTGGCTGCTCATGGACAGAGCTCTGCTCCTTGGCACCAGCTCTGTAAAGGCACCTCGACTGCTCCATCTGCCCCCCAAGTGCAGGCGTGCCTGCCCAAAGCGCTGCTGGAAGGATGCAGAAAGCCACACCTAGCACCTTACGGTGAATTCATAAGGAAAGACGATCTTAGTGTTCCTCCCTGGGAATATTTTTTGGACTGTACAAGGTTAGATGTAAAACTGGAGTGGAAGAAAAAATTTGCCAGTGGAATTGTCAAAGTATTGTGGGACTCTGAGTAACCTGATCTAGGGGGTGGCATCCTGCCCGTGGTGCAAGTGTTGGAATGAGATGATTTTTAAGGCCCCTTTCCACCCAAACCACTCCAGGATTCTGTGATTCCATGACGATTTCAGCATGGACACAGTGCTGGCTGTGCTGCCTTTAGGAGCCAAGGCCACTTCTACAGCCCCTTGCACTCAGAGTGGATTTGTTTTCCTTACTGATAGGGGAGATAAAACTGTTGTTAATGGCAATGAGGGATGGAACCACTCCGACTCCAGCGGAAGAAGTTTCCACAGCTGTTGTTCTGAATTAGCTTCCTTGGACTGAGGGAACTCCCAGCCTTTTGGGTACTTCTGAGGCGTTTAGGGGAGTGCTCCTGGCTTCCCTGAAAAATGAATCACAGAATCCCAGGATGGCTTGGGCTGGAAGGAACCTTAAGGATCACCCCATCCCAATGCCCTGCCACTGCCAGCGACACCTCCCACCAGAGCAGGCTGCTTTGAGCCGTGTCCCGGCTGGCCTTGAACAATCCCAGGGATTTTCTGGAGAGCAAAAAGCTGAGCTGGTGCTTCATGGGCATCAAGTCCTCGCAGCCTGGGCTGCCCTGGTGCTGAGCTGGTTTGGCCAGACCTTGCAGCTGGAGGAGCACCTGGGTGTGCTCCGTCCCCACACCGAGCAGGGCTGGACGCTGTGATCCTCCTCCCAGCCCGGCTCCCAGCCCGGCCGGGGTCCCACGGGGCCACCCACACCCGTGGCCAAGCCTCCCTGCCTTTCCCCACGTGTCCCCCTCCTTTGCCTGCTCCTCTCCCAGTGGAGAACCCCGCAGGAAAACCTTTTCTGTGAGCGCTTTCTGGGCCGTCTTCCAGGCCCACGCTCGGAGGAAGGGGGCTTGGGGAGGAGGAGGAGGAGAAGGGGGGAAGGTAAAGCTGACCAGGCTCAGCCCGATGGCTTCTCCAGCTGCAGAGCATTTTCTGAGCAAAGCTTTTTTTTTTTTTAAATCTGCTTTTTTTTTTTTTTTTTTTTTTTTTTTTTTTTTTTTTTTAACTGCGGCCTCCTTCCTTTTCTCAGCCTCCTCCAACACTTCCCCCTCCCCTGTGCTGCGCTGCCTCCCCCGCACGCTCTCGCTGAGATGAATGGGCGCCTTCTCACAGGGCACGCACAGCTGCTGCTCCTGCCTGCAGGACAGCCAGCCCTTCCCTGGGCCAGCCAGGATCACCCCTGGGCTGGCCAGGATCACCGCTGGGCTGGCCAGGATCATCCCTGAGCCAGCCAGGATCACCCCTGGGCCAGCCAGGATCATCCCTGGGCCAGCCAGGATCACCGCTGGGCCAGCCAGTCCTTCCCTGGGCCAGCCAGGCTCACCCCTGGGCTGGCCAGGATCATCCC